TTTTTTTTCTTTTGTCAGTTCTGGTTCTTGTTTTCTAATCCTTTTACTTATTGACTTTTTTTTTTTTTTAAACTTAATTCCTTCCTTTGTTTTCCTTGGGTTACTTTGATTCCTTTTTCTGACTACAGGAATTGAATATTTAATTTATTCATTTTGATTCTCTTTTGCTTAGTCATGCATGTTGCTATTTTCAGGGACCATCAAGTTGATTCCAACTCCTAGCCACCCCAGGTGGCAAAGCAGAAAAACCCCATAGGGTTTTCTAGGCTATAATCTTCATAGGGATTGGGAGCTCTCTCTGGTGGCCTAGTGCCTAAGGCATTTGACTGCTAACCAGAAGGCTGGAGGTTCAAACCCACCAGCCACTCCTTGGAAGGAAGATTGGGCAATCTATTTCCATAGAGATACTGCCTCAGAAACCCAAGGAGGGTCACTATGAGTCAAATTGACTTGATAGCAGTGAGGTTTTTTTGGAATCTTCATAGGAGCAGATCACCAGGTCTTAAGCCAAGTGCTTAACCATTGTGCCACCACGGCTCCAGTCATGAATATGTGCAAGTTGTAAACATTCTAAGTAAGTACAGCACTTTCTACCTGTTGAAAACCCCTATCCACTCCATCTCAGATTCAGTCCTTCTAAGACTTCCATTATCATCCTCTCTTAAATAATTTCTTTTTTCCTTGAAAGCAGTTTTGGACCATTCATTTGCCAACCTGTGAGGAGGATGGTATTGTGTTTATTTTCAAAGAATGTTCTTTGTGCCTTAGCACAAAGAAATGATAACAATGATAAATGGAACACCTTTCTTGAACACTTACCCTGTGGCTGGCATTGTAGTAAGTACTTTACACATACTATCTTAACAACTCAATACCCATTTTACAGATGAAATAGGTACTCAAATATTACTGTTCCTGGAACATGCCCAACATTTACTTTTAGGGCCTCTCCCCTTGGCCCAAGTCACTCTCTAAAACCCAAACCAAACCAAATTCACTGCTGTCAAGTCGGTCCAGACTCGTAGTGACCCCTCCTTAGGTTTCCAAGGTAAATTGCCCATTCCTCCTTCTGAGGAGTGACTGGTGGATTTGAACCATCAGCCTTCTGGGTAGCAGTCAAATGCTTTAGGCACTACACCACCAGAGTTTGCTGTCATCTGCTTATTCAGTGTTCAAGTGAATGTTGCCTCTTCAAAGCCTCCCAGACCCTCAATCTAACTCTCCCTCCCCCCAAAAAAATTGTTGCTTCAAATGAAGGCCCAAAAGCTTTACTCCATCCACATCACTAAGGTCGACTCTCCTTTGAGGAGGCAGCTCTTCCCTAGTCATATTTTGAGTGCCTTCCAACCTGAGGAGCTCATCTTCTGGCATGTCAGACAATGTTCTGCTGCAATCCATATGGTTTTCACTGGCCAGTTTTTTCAGTGTTTCAAATGACCTTGCTGGTACCCAGCCGTAGTGAGTCCAACTGGTGGCAACCTCATGTGTTATAGAGTGGAAATGTGTTCCATAGGATTTTCTAGGCTGTAATCTTTATGGAAGCAGATTGCCAGGCCTTTCATCCATGATGCAGCCACAGGATGGGTTAAAACTCTCCAAGGTACAGAAGGGAACTTTTGTCTTGTTCCTAACAGCATCCCCACACATCCTTAGAGCACTACCCAGCGTGCAGGAAAATCAAAACAAAATGAAACCCACTGCCGTCAACTAGATTCTGACTCAAGTGACCCTACAGGACAAAGTAGAACTTCCCCATAGGGGTTTCCAAGGCTATAAATCTTTACAGAAGCAGACTGCTTTCTCTTTCTCCTGTGGGGTGGCCTGGGGGGTTCGAACTGCCAGCCTTTTGGTTATCAGCCCACTGCTTTAACCACAGTGACCTGGATAAATATTTATGGGATGAGGGCATTCTCCAAGACAAACAAAGGGGCCTTAGGAGGAGCCAGGACATTCTGTCATAGAAGTAACACTGCTTTGGGGTAAGTGTGGCCCTGTGGGGTAAGAGATGTCTCAATAGATGTGTGCCTTCAAGCACCTCACTGTACTGAAGCTAGGTTTCCTCACCTGTGCAAGAACAGAGGCCCTTTTCAGCTCATTGTCACACTGTGGTTCCACATCAATAAACTTGCATTAAAGCTCGGTGTGAAAGCAAGGAGAGAGGGAAAGCTCCACACTGGCGGAGGAGGCAGGGTGGGCGAGGGGACAAGTTAGAGAGTGGCGTTCGACGGCTGAGGGGAGCGAAAGGGTGTGTCAAAGCAAGGGCGGGGGAGGGGGTGCGGAGCGCCGAGGCGGCGCTGTCCCTTCAGGCGGACAGGGCGGGGTGGGGCACTAGGGGGGTCACGGCGTCCCCAAGGGTTACTAGGGGGAGGGTGGCGTCCGAAGGGAGCAGCTAGGGTTGGGAAGGAACAGTAGGAGCGCGCTGGGGGAGCTGGGGTCGGGGTGCGCTGGGTGGCCTAGGGGCAGAGAGGGGCGCGGCTTCTCGGGCTCGGGATCAGGCTCGGCAGGACAGGCCGGAAGGGATAGGGCCGGGGTCTAGGGACCAGGAGAGGGGCGGGGGGCAGAGCCAAGGTGAGCTGGGCAACACGCAGGGGACCTCAGGGAACCCTCAGTAGCTGAAGAGTGCAGAGGGGTGCGGGTGGGTGGGGAAGGGGGGTAGGTAGGCTTGGGCACCCGACCGACTCCAAAAGGTGGCCGAGGGAGCGCCGAGGGGGCGCCCTGCGCCGACTAGGCGGTGTCAGGAGGCTGGGTGGCAGCAGGGCCCGGACTGAAGGAGGCGCGCGGGGGCGGGGTGACCGCGGGGCCTGGGCGGGCTGGGGCGGGCCGGGGCGGAGGCGGGGGCGCGCGCGGGTCCCGGGTTACAGCAGGCCGGGTGGGGCACAGGGCGACCGCTTCACTTCCGGGAGCGACTGGCTCGGTGCTCTGCCTGCGACGGGTGCGGAGGCCGAGCGCGCAGGCCAGGCCCAAGCCCACTGTTTGGAGGCCTTGCTCTGCGGCCATGGGGGCTTCTGCGCGGCTGCTCCGTGCAGCGATCATGGGGGCCCCTGGCTCGGGCAAGGGCACTGTGTCGTCGCGCATCATCAAGCACTTCGAGCTGAAGCACCTCTCCAGCGGGGACCTACTCCGGGACAACATGCTGCGGGGCACAGGTGGGGGTCCGGGCAGGGGCTGGCGCTGCCCTACCGCGGGGTCAGGGTTTGTGGGCGGGGAGATGCGAATCCAGGCTTGGGCGCGGGGGTGGGGGTCCCGGGTTCAGGAGTGACCTCAGGCTGCTGGGAGACTGCGCCCTGAAACCTCTGCCCTCTGCGGTCGGGTCATTGGGAGAAAGGACTGGGGAGTTCGGACACGCTCGCAGTTCAAAGATTAAAGGAAATTTGTTTGGCTTTAAGAAGCAGCAGCTCCTGAGGGTCCTTGGACTGTGGCTTGTTTTCCACGTGACCCTGCTCTAGGAAAACTGATGTTCTTTTGCTAAGATCTGCTATTTCTTTTCTAACTTTTTGTCGTCGTTGTTAAGATCTGTGTAATTTTACAGTTCTCACCTTTCCCCATAATCTAAAGCACGATTATTATTTACCCTCGTTGCACAAAATAGACTTTGATTTTATATTAAAAAGAAAAACAAAAGCCAAACCCATTGCCCTAGAGTCGATTCAGACTGATAGTGACTGATGGGGCAGGATATGATTGTCCCATAGGGTTTTCAAGGCTCTGGTTGGCTTAGTGCCTAAGGCATTTGACAGCTAACCAGAAGGCCAGCGGCTCAATAAAGTGGCCTAGCGCTTAACCGCTGTGCCACCAGGGATCCTTTGACTTTTGATACTCTGGTAGTGTAGTGCTCAAGGTACTTGACTGCTAACCAGAAAGCTGGCGGTTCAAACCCACCAGCCACTCCTGGGAAGGAAGGTTGGGCAATCTACTTCCATAGCGATACCGCCTCGGAAACCCAAGTAGGGGTCGCTATGAGTTGGGTCCGACTCCACGGCACATAACAACAACAACAACAACAGAGAATTCTTAGACACAAAAGCTATTCTTGTTTGTGAGGTCATCTGAAATACTTGGTTTCTCATGCCAAATAAATTCTTACAGCTCAGCACAAACTCTGGTCAACAAACTGTTGAGGTGAATTTCACATACGGTATGTAAATTATATCTTAAGGCCGTTTTTCTAAAAAAAAAAAATCAACAGTGGATGAGGTTTTGTTTTTTTTTCCCTCAAGAGTGATGACCTTTTCCCCAGACAGAACCCATTTTGAACGACTTAAGAAAAAAAATTACAGAGGAGATGCACAAAGTGAAAGGATTGGAAAGAGGACCGGGTGCATAAAATGCAAAGTAAAACCCTCCTTCTCTACTTTTTCAGAGGGGAACTGTGTTTTCTTCTACACATGTTGATGTTGTTGTTGTTATTTGCCGTCAAGTCGGCCCCGACTCATAGCGACCCCTCCTTGGGTTTCCGAGGCAGTTATCACTACGGAAGTAGGATTGCCCAACCTTCCTTCCGAGGAGTGGCTGGTGGGTTTGAACCGCCAGCCTCCTGGTTAGCAGTCAAGTGCCTTAGGCACTATGCTACCAGAGCTCCTATGTTGATGTATCTACAAACAAATGTATGTACATCCTTTATTTTATGCAACATATAATTATAGATAGATAGTCCCAGGGTGGCACAAATAGTTAAGGGCTCAACCATCAACTGAAAGGTTAAGGCTTGGTGATCTGCTTCCAAAAGATCACAGCCATTAAAACTCTTCTCTGCACACATGGGGTTGTCATGAATATGGCAACTGGCTTGTACATATATATCTGCACCAGCCCATTTTCACTTTATTTTGGGATATCTTTCAATATGAAGGCATAGAAATTGGCTCCACTGTTTAATGTATAATGTATTTGTTTGCTGAATCTACTATGATTAATTTAACCAGTCCTCTGTTGTTGTTATGTGCCGTCAAGTCGGACCCGACTTATAGTGACCCTTCCTTGGGTTTCTGAGGCGGTATCACTATGGAAGTAAATTGCCTACTGATGGACATTTAGGTTATTTACTTGTTTTTGCTGTTTGTTTAAAAAATACTGACATTTAAGAAAAAAAAAAAAACCAGTCCTGTGTTTTTAGCTTGTCTCTTGGAGTTCTTTGATTCAGCACCTAACATCTTTGGCACGTTCCTGGTTGTGTTTCATTCTGTTCTAACGTTGATCTTAATAAATAAAAGTGTTTTGTTTCCTGGTGGTGTAGTGCCTAAGCCATTTGACTGCTAACCAGAAGGCTGGCAGTTCAAACCCACCAGCGCACTCCTCAGAAGGCAGATTGGGCAATCTACTTCCATAGAGATACCGCCTCAGAAGCCCAAGAAGGGGTCGCTATGAGTCTGAAACAACTTGACCAGTGAGTTTGGTTTCTTTAAACATCTTCAAAAGGTAAAATTGTCTGGCTCACTTGCTTAATGTTCTTGATGCCACAAGTTGAAGTAGTTGGGTAACAGTGAGCAGCCCACAGTACTGCAGTGGGGTGGGGTGGGGTAAGGTTATTCAAAGCTAGAGGGAATAAAGCATCCTTAGGAAATCTTTTAAAAATCACAGCAGTGAATCTTAACCCTGTGGGTAAGAAACACCTTCCATAAAAAGCCGAGGCTCCGTTAGTTTGTAAGACACAAAGCATTTTAACAAAAATATATTTAAAAGACAATTAGACAAACTTAAAAAAGAATTAAAAATCAAGTGCTCTTTTTGATTCTTAGCACTCTATGACATGCATGTTGTCCTCTTGTGCCTACTCCAAAATCAGCAGAGAGGCCAAAGGGGGAAGAGAGGAATCCGGGAAGAGATGTTTAGCCTGCTTGGCCCCTGCCCATTCTGTAATCTTTGTGACAGTTCCTTAGCAAGGAAAACACAAATCCAGCTTGGGGAGGTGTCCTGAGATTGTTATTACAGATGGTCTGTTCTCAGGGCTAATAGTCCATTCTCAACAAATATTTATAAATGGATTGGACCTTTTTCCACAGGATCAGAGCCAAAAGAAAGGTGTGATCTTTTGTTTTAAAAGTATCACTGAATGTTTACTGGTAGTAAAAGTAAGGTATAGTTATTATAAAGGAAGAAAAATATGTCATGAAAAAAGGAAAATAGGATCCTCCGTAATTCCACACCTCCAACCCCCTCATGAGCAAATGATAATGTGCCCTTTAATGCTTTGTCTTACATTTCTTTTTTATTGTTGCTATTTCCTTTCTCTTTTTTCTCTTCATTGTATTTATAAAATTGTTATATCCTATGAGATTGCTTAGCCGTCTTTTTTCCTCACTTCATGTTCATGTATCATCATTAAGCTGTCTTCAAAATGATATTTAATTTCATAAAAGTTGTGCAATTACTTATTTGGATCTTTTTCTATTGGATATTTATGTTATCCAGGAGCTCTGGTAGCATAGTGGCTAAGACACTTGCCTGCTAACCAGACGGCTGGCGGTTCAAACCCACCACCCACTCCTCGGAAGGAAGGTTGGG